TCTTAATCTAAGCTTGTAAGCAACTCCTTCTAACAATTACTAAGTACAGCGTAAGAAGGGTTCTTAAAGCTTATTAAAGGGGCTAAAGAGATGCTGCACAAAAGCGTCCTTATTAAGGCCTGCATGCAAGAGCTTAAAGAGTAATTAGTAGTAATAACTAAGAGAAAATTGCATAACGTACCCCACGGGCGAGCTGATCAACGGGCGAGCTGATCACTTTTGCCAAGCCCCCACCAAAGTAACCTCTACATACCAATGCCTCAACAACAACCTAATATTAACGCGTTAATAGAAGCCTAAATACAGCTTGCGCTTCAAGCTCTTAAATAAGACGCGAATCTCACCCAGCAACGCGCTGCAGCTATCTATAAGGCGCCTTAGAGTACACTAAGCACACAACGCGCAGGACAACCTTCACGCGCTAATTCTATAGCTAACTCGCGAAACCTAGACAACAACAAGGAGCAATTAATTATTGAACATGTCCTTGAGCTAGACGCGCGAGGATTTGGCCCCCAGCTGGCAGATGTGGCTGCTATAGCCAATTTTCTGCGCGCTGAGCGCAATCTAGGCCCTATTGGCGTAAATTAGCCTAGTACATTTATTAAGCGTTAACTAGAGCTTAAAGTAAAGTTTAATTGCAAGTACAACTACAAGTAAGCCCTCTGCGAGGATTTAGGGGTTGTGCAAGGCTAGTTTAGCCTAGTAGCTAACATTAAAGCTAAGTATAGCATCTAGGATAATAATACCTAACGTAAACCCCCAGCACCCAGGCCAACCCAGCACCCAGGCCAAAAAAGCTTGGCAGTACCAACTCACGTTACAACTCTTTAATTTCATCACTATTTAATATAGAGCCTGCGTACGCTATGCTTGTATCTAATTTAGAATATGCCTCTATATCTTTTTTGCACATTTGCGTGTTGTGTCTAGTCCCTCTATAGTTTCTACAGTACTGTAGAGCTAGTTAAGCTTGTTCTTAATTACTACTACCACAAGCCTTCTTTGACTGCTCAGCGGCTACAGAGGCCTCTACAGCCACCTAAGCTGCTGCCTTACCATACTCTATAGTACTACCTTGCTAGATTTGCTTCCTTTTGCGCAATTTCTGCTTAGTTATTACTGCTAATTGCTCTTTAAGCTTAGTAATCTAGGCTGCTTAAAGCGCGTTCTAATGCAGCATAAGCTCGCCACCTCTAATAAGCTAAGAGAAGCCTGCTTACACAGTAATAGGTAACTAAGTAAAAGACTTACGTACAAGCTTTAACTAAGATCTAAACTTGTAGGTATTGCTTAGAGTCTTTAACTGCTATAGCGTCTCTAGGAGGAGGGGTTCTAGTAGGGTACGCAGGCGCACTTTAAGGCAATCTAACACAACCTGCATGTTAAGAGGGACTAGCCCTGCTACCTTAAAGGCCTTATAACAGTTCTCTGCTAAAAATATATTAAAAAACATGTCCTTAAAGGCAGGAAGAAAGCCTTCTTTATTAATATAGAAGATGTGCTTATGTGCTAAGTCTTATACGCGCTAAGAGTACTTGCACTTTAATAGTAAGAAGTAGACTATATTAAGTAGCTAGAGGATGTGCAATAAGTAAGGTAGTATATAGAGGGTAAGGATTAGGTTTTTAAGGCAGTAGTCCTTAAAATCCTAGTTAAGGTAGCTCTTATAGCCGTCTAAAATAAGCAGCCTGTACGCCCCTACCTGGCTCGCCTTTGTATGCGCGTCAAAGTGCTTCAGCCACTCAAGGCCAAGCGCGTTGTTCGTCCAGCCGCTCTTGGAGACAGAGAGCTTCTAATTGCATGGTATATCTGCCTCCTCGTACCAGGCAGAGATGTGAACGCGTCCTTTGTAGATAATAAAAGGCAGGGTACAAGATCTAGCAGCGCAGACGCTCTAGATAACTGTTACCCACTTGCAATTACCTAGCTAAACAAGCTAAGGTTAATTACGTCTCTCTACACCTATAACAACCTTTATTAAGCTAATAACACCTATCTAGAAGCTAGTCTTATTAAGGTTGTATATATTGTAGTTATATACACTATATTTAGCTTTTGTGTCCTCTACTAGCTTAAACCACGCGCTGATTGTCTCTAGATCCTCCTGCAGCATCCTCTGCCTATCTTTAGCTTAATTAAAGGCTATCTTAAGCGCAGCTGAACGCGTTACGAAGCGCTCATCTTAGTGCTTGCCAACAGGCTGCCCACCGCGTACACCTAACAGTTTGTTGGCCATATCTACCACCTTGCACAGCTAGGGCGCGAATCCTTACAAATTAAGGTCAAGAATATATTATACAATTGTTTGCTCTTTAGTGCACGTAAGCTTATATTGTGCGTTGCGTCTATTGTTAATATAGAGTCTACCTCTATACCTAGCACTTAAGGTTGTACGCAGTATATTAAATGCCTAAGTAGCGCTTTAGAGGCTTTTAAATTTATATAATTAGAAAGTAGAAAGGGCAAGATTTATTCTAACCTCTTATTTATATAATTATATATCTTGTTAGCAAGGCATTACGTGTTAATATTAATAGTTGTGGTCTTGGCAAGAAATGGCCTAGGTGCTGGGTTGGCCTGGGTGCTGGGGGTTTACGTTACGACTTTAATAAGACTACCTTAATAATAGGCTAGATCTCCCTAGGAGTAGTTGTTACAGCTTTAGAGAGACAAGGAAGGCCAAAGACAGTCTAGCAAGGCAACTAGGAGTAGACAACAGTAGGCTGGCGGATGGGTAGGGTATGCTTTTTTACGTTTTAGCTTATAGCTTCTTAACTAGCAGAGATACGCTTACATAATCTATTATTCAATAGAAGCGCCTAGTATTGCGCCTTCTAATAAAAAAAGAATTAGCTTATTCTGCCTAGTATTAGCTAAGTTATTAACACTACCTAGCAAAGTATACCTATTAATAGGTATGCTTGCTAGGTACCCCCCCTTTTTTAACATTTTCTAGCCTCTAGCTTGTGCAGTTTAATAGTTATAACAAAACCTTCTACTACAAAAATATAGAGGTAGTTTTTCTCTTTCTTTTCAGCCCTAGTTCGCTAGAATCCATGTATTATTGATAAGGTTTTGGGGGGTACCCACGAAGGACGTTGGAGTATACCCATTCTGCCAGCCTAGTTCTAAGGCGCTAGATTAGTCCTCTTTAACCTAGAATAGGTTATTTTAACCCTTAATATAAAGCTGTAAACTCTATTACTACTACTCCCTACTAATAGCAAGCCCTAGCAGTTGCAAACCCCTAGCAATACCCTAGAATTTAGGTCTTAATTAACTCTAATTTAAGAGAAGTATAAGAAGCAGCAGGGTAGCTTACCTAATTCTATTCTAAGCGCGCTTAAGCACTATGCAAAGGGGGAAGTAATTTTATCCTATAGGCTAGTTTTAGCCTAACAGGAAATTAGCAAGCTTTAGGCAGCAAATAAGGCTGCTACACGACAAAAATCACACAAAAGAAACTAGGTTTAAAAGGAGGGGACTCTAATAGTTAGAGATAGGCAGCAACTAGCAGCTCTAAAGGAGTTTCGGGCGCGTAGTGATGGGAAGAAGCTAAAGAAGCGGGTGTGTGCTGAAGGGGGTGAACTATCTTAATAACGCTGTGGACAGTGCAACCAGACAGGACATAACGCGCGAATGTGCAAGAATAAGGTAGAAGAGGTATCTAAGTAATATTACAGCTTGTTTTGCCTTATGCAGCGCCAATTTGTGGTGTTTTGGGCCATAATGGGGGGGAGTTTGGTGGGGGCTTGGCAAAAGTGATCAGCTCGCCCGTTGATCAGCTCGCCCGTGGGATACGTTAAGAGAAAGTAGATTTAGTATAGTGGCACACTTAAGTATGGCCCAGCAGTATCGTAAGTAGCTGCTGAGGCGTCTGTAGCAGCTCAGCCATCTAAGAAGACTTAGGGTAGAGGTAGTTAATAAGGAGCTTAATTTACTATTTAGCGCTGTAGGAACTGCAGCAAGACTAGACGTAACGCATAAACGTGCTAGGAGGGTGTAGAAATATCTTCTAAATCTAATATAAGCACATAGTATGCTAGGTTACTATTTAATAGCAAGTAGTTGTAGTTGCAGTAACTTGTGTTAGTTGTGCTAAGAGAAAATGGCTGGTTTGGTGATATGGCTGGCTCGGTGATAATCTACGTTAGTCGTTACCAGGAAAAGCTTTGACATGTTCATAGTCACCCTGCAGGTGCTTGAGGCTGGAGAACCCTGCGGTGATCAGGGGACGAGGTGCTGGAGCCCAATCCCGACCTCGCTGAGGCTCTCTCCTCACGGAAGAAGCCTCGGCCGAAAGCGACGCCATTGGTCCGTGCCTGCGATCGCGGGGAAGAGTGGAATGGCAGCATATCTGTTCGCACTTATGCATCAGCCATTCGCGTATCAGGTCGGATGATAACAAGAGGCGCCCTTGTTCACATTCTGTGATGCTGCACCGGTTGTCAACACTCATGCACAATGCCGTCGACTACACGCGGTGTCCATCGCTCAACACAACGCGCACCAATGTCGTGCACTTTATGCGCATCTAGAAAGGTCAAATGCAGCAAAACTATCCCATGTCAGGCTTGTTTGAGCCGCGGTACTGCCGCAGACTGCAAACGCGAGGTGGTCATGGTCCGAGGGCGTGTACGCACCGCCGATGTGCCAGGCTCCAGTGCCTCGATAGCCGAATTGCTTCTCGAGAACGCGCGTCTATCCGACCTGGTTGAACGATCAGCTGATACAGAAAGCTCTAATGCACCTGCGCTCGATCTCACAGAGTACCACGAGAAACGTCTCCACGCCGCTGTCGGCCAAGTCTATCGGCCTCGTACTGTAGCATCCTCACTGGACATCGCATTACCCACGCGACATTGTAGCAGGGTCTTCGTCGAATTTGCGGAGATGTGGACCTCATGGGTCCACTTCGGCTGCTTTTTCCCAAATTTTCGAAAGGAACACGACCAGTTTTGGATGCAGGATGGCAATTTGCCCGCTTGGGATCCGTTGTGGCTGGCACTTTACTTCGCTGTTCTGGCCTCGGCTTTGGTCTTCATGAGCGATGATGACTTTGCGCAAAGTGAAGCTCCTCTTGCCTCACGCAGCCAGTTGACGTGGAACTGGTACAGTGCTGCACTCTTCTACATGGACCAAGGAGACTTCTCACAGAAGTTACAAATTCATGTTGTGCAAGCAATCGCTGTTCTTGGGAATGTCGCCTCGACTATAGGAGAAACGCATCGACATTTAAGTCTCTGGGCCGTGGCTATTCGAGTTGCTCAGCAGCTCAACCTTGGCTGCGACGAGATGAATCTGAGCGAAAATATTGTCCAGCAAGAGTCTCGCAGACGACTTTGGTGGACACTCGTGATATGCGAGTGGCTTCCCATTCCCTTCCGGACGCCCTGCATCAGCGAGGTAGACTTCAATTGTCGGCTTCCTATGGATATCAGCGACATCGGGCTGGTCAACGCGGACTCTGGAGGTCTTCGCACTTCAAACCATGACCCATGCCCTGTCCAATATCACGTCGTCATGGCCAGAATTGCCACCATCTACCATCACTTACATGCAAAGCTTCGACTCCGCAAGTGGTCGCCAACGGGGGTAGCAAACTTTGTCTTCCAAGCCGACGACCAACTAGCCGATGTGATTGAACATTTACCAGTTCATCTGCAGCACTGCGACGACACATCCATCAGCAACCAGCAAGAGCTTCAAAATCGATTCCCTTGGATTGCTACACAGAGAACAAGCCTCGTTATAGTGCTGCTATACTTCCGGTTGGCAATTAACCGCGTCCTGCAGGTCTATTGGCTAGAGGGTTCGACAAACTTCGCCCGCGCCCGTGCGATCTGCCTCTCTTCCGCAGTCGGCGTGATTCGTTGCGCAACGACAGGCCAGGAACATTTCAGTCGCCTACGTTCATGGTAAGACTCTTTTTTGGCCTCATGATCCAACTTAGTAACAGGTTCTAGGGACTTTGCAATGCTCATCTTTTCGGCCACTGTCACTCTTGCCTTGGAAGTTCGCCGGGTCGATGATGCCGATCCACAATTGATCGAAGCAATAGCTGATAGTGTGCAGACACTAGAGCGCGTGGAATCACAAAATAACTTGGCGAAAGAAGCACGTCGAATTTTGGACGAAATGAGACTAGTCTAGGATCCCTTCCTTCACCGCCCCGCTCAGTACGCCTTGACACCAGCCAATTTGAGCACAAGATCGCTTTCTTCCGGCTCAAAAGCCGGTCGGTCTCTGGAATATGTATCCGGCTGTCCGAGTCGCATGTGCTTATCCTCTTGACGGAAGATGTTTGCGTGTGGCCAGTGCGTCTGCAGCTTGTCAGTGGGTCTTCGCGCAAACCCATGAGGACGCTTACTGTTCCGACTCGTTCTTTGAAGTATAAAGCCTTTTCCTCGAGATCTTCCTTCGAGGCGAAACTCGCTGGTGTGTAGCAGATGTACATGACCGCTCTGAGATTTCCAGAGCTTGGTACTCTGTTGTAATGGATCTGGCGACTGTCCCACAAGATCAAGTCTGTGCAGGAAGCGATGTCAGCAGAGTCCCACGATACGGTGGATCGGCTTTGGCTTACCTCCCGGGTCAGCGCAGACCTTGATCTCCTCGCATCCACGGTTCTTGAACCAAGCTACCTCATCCTCATCAAACCCATGCCAATCCATCGATCCCCAAGTACCAGCCCCCTTGGTCTCGGGATGCAATTTGAAGAATGTCTCGTTCGCGTTGTGGGACCCCTTCAGTACAACAAGCCCACCATCGTCTGGACCATTAGGAGCAAGGTTCAGGATACCTTGAATGCACTGCATGCCCTTGCGATTGGGGTTCTGGTCGACATGTGGCCATGGCGTTGTTGGCTTCATATCTTTTGTGGGCAAAGTGAGGTTCATACCGTCGAACGAGACAAGCAGTTCATCTGTACCCCACAGCTTCGCAAATGCATCGATGATAGTAGGCTCACTGCGGTCAGTTAATAAGTTGTTGTTGTTCGAAAACCGATATTCATCTGCTGACTTACGTTCGGGCGTCCCAGATGACCTTCTCATGTTGAACCTTGTAGCCATGGTACATTCCACCTCTGCGTCCACGTGTCAGCTGGGGCGAGTCCGATTTCGGTAAGTACCGCGCAACTTACTTCATGTGCTCGGGTAGGTGCTCCTTGCCATGAGTTGACGGATCGTCGGCCTTGAAGCCATAGGGGAAAGTCTCAAGCCACTCGAACATGCGCTTCTGGTAGCCTTGCGCCTTCTCGGGCGACAGCACTCCTTTGACAACAACGAATCCATCTCGAAAGAGAGCCTCGCGCCAGTCGCCTGTCGCAGCACTCGTATCAATCTTCGGCTCACTTTCGTAGTGTGGCATAGTGAATAAGATGCTCAAGGATGCTGTTGAGGCTGTAGAGTATGTGATACTGGAGCAGAATAACAGCTTATCTGCGACCGCTTTTAAGGTCGCTTTCCCCCGATGATCCCCACAAATTGTGCCCACGATTTGGCGTCACCAGAAGCGTTCCGGCGGAGAATGATATCCGTGCATGAGTCAAGGTGCAATGCCATTGGCCAGAGCCGATCTCGCTCGGGCGAGTCCCGGGCGAGTTATCTTACCCCAGATTCATGCCGCTCAATATCGGCGACAGGCAGCCGGAGCTGGATCAAAAGTTACCGAAGATAAGTCAGGGGTCCGTGCAGTGGTAGTGCAAGATGGTCCTGGTTTTACATAAGACGTTGTAATCCCTATAGTCGACTGCTCATTACCTAGCAGTTACCTGCTACGATATCTGTCCACCATCTCAGCACTTCCTGAAGTAACCGAAGTAATGGTTGGATTTCTTCATGGCACGACGCCGACAGGTATCCTGTGCATGTTCCTTGCCTCCGCCGGCGCCTTTCTGTTTGTAAGTCATGTCAGTCCGAGTCTTTGTGTAATACGACTAATCTGTGGCCAGGGCTTCGACAATGGCTGGTGGGGAACGATCCTCGGATCTCAAACATTCTTGTCTGAGTACGGCTCCTGCTCCAATGTGGATGGAACTCAAACATGCAATCTTTCGACATCGCAACTTTCTGCTGGAAGCTCGGTGCAGTCTGGCGGCATAAGTAAGATTTTCACCTCTCTAGTCTGAAAACACGCTGACAGTCGGTGCAGTGATTGGCTGCCTGGTCGCGATGTATCTCAACAACTATCTCGGTCGAAGACTCTCGCTTGCTGTAACAGGTGCTGTTTCTATCGTCGGCGTCGTAATCGAAGTCACCAGTGCCGTTGGCGGCAAGGGACGCTTCGGCCAGTTCGTCGCGGGCAAAACGATCGCTTCTATCGCTATGGGACTGGCGGTCAACATTGTACCTGTCTATCTTTCGGAGACATCGACAGGTGCCGCCCGTGGCTTCGCTGTGAGTCTCTACCAGAATGTGCAGATCCTGGGCGTTATCCTAGCATCTGGTGTGGTATATGCTTCTTCCAGAAGCACTACAGCTTCAGCTTACCTTACCCCAATCGGCCTACAATTCATCGCGCCGATGATCATGATTGTGGCATCCCCATTCCTACCAGAAAGTCCTCGCTGGCTAGTATGGAAAGGGTACGTATATCGCTCAGATACAGAAGAGTGTGTACTAACGCATGAGTCATAGACGGCACGAAGAGGCCAGATCAGCTGCCTCCCGGTTATTCCTGTCTAGCACGAACAGCTTCGATGCTGCCAAATACATCGATGAGATCCAGATCGCGATCGAAGCAGAGCGTAGCAACGAAAATGCTGCTAGCTGGGCCGATCTGATGCACGGTCCTGACCTGCGTCGTCTTCTCATCGCGGTGGGTGTACAGTCGCTGCAACAGGCCCAAGGCTCCTCCTACATGAACAGTTACATCGTCTCTTTCCTCACATCTACTGGCGTCACCAACGTCTTTCCCGTGATAATGGGCTTGTATACTCTTTACTACGTCGCCGTTCTCACAGGCCACTTCCTGCCGGATACTGCTGGTCGGCGTCCAATCCTGATCTCAACGGCCTTGTTCTGCGGTGTCACTCTGACGATCGTGTCCAGTCTGGTAGTGGCCTACTCGAACCCACCAGACGTCGCGAAAAAGGCTTCTATTGCACTCATCTTCCTCTGGCAGACTTCGTTCGGCGTTCAATCCCCTCTCATCTGGATTACCACCGTTGAATCAGCGCCATCGCGGAATAGGGAGAAGGTGCAGGCTATTGCATGTTTTTTCGGCTTCGGTGTGTCGCTGCTCATCACGTCTGTATCGCCATACATACAGGACGAAAGTCACGGAAACCTTGGTGGCAAGATCGTACGTGTTGCTCTTTCCAAGTATCGAGAAGCGTCGCTAACAGCCATAGGGTTTCATCTGGGGTGCTTTCTCGTTCATCACGGCTGCGTGGGTGTACTTCATCGTTCCCGAGATGAAGGGCTTTACCATCGAGCAGCTCGATTACTTGTACGATCACGGCGTACCGACCCTCAAGTTCAAAGGATATCAATTTGATAGCATTGACGGTGAGTCCATTAGCGTTTTCGACAAGAAGGTAGAAAGCCAGGCTACCATGAAGAAGATGGAAGACCAGGACGTTTAGAGAAGTTCGGTGAGAGGTGACAAGGCGGCGAAGTCCATTCTGCTCATAGCCTCGATCGCGCTAGATACACGTTAAGAAACGCTCGTTCTACAGACTAAATTCGTTGACGAAACTACTTAACAAAGCTCTGACACGACTCGTTACGTTCAAAGGAAGGCGGAAATTCGATTAGAACATTGACACAGCAGCCAGCGCCAGGTAAATTAGCTCGACGCGCGTAGAGGCAGCAGGCATGTCATTTGGTACTAAACACACAATCTCTGGTCAATCTAGCACCACAGAGTCTGTGCAGGCACCTCTCCACAAAGGCAAGCGCAGTAGGGCCGGACCTGCCACCAATTTCCATCACCACAATTTCGTTGACTTATGGCGTCCAATCGTACTCTGTTACGAAGCAGCGCTCAGTCTCGAACTACTGCTCGAGGAACCTGTCGACCATGCATAGTTTTGAGTATGCTTGCTTGGGCTGCACAGCTAACTGTTCAAAGGGGTTTGACCGGGTGCGAGCTAGACTGTAGGCGGTGTAACTTATGTGCTAGACACCTAGCAATCTCTCCATTGCGTCGACAATTTAATATGCACTCTTTTAAGGAAGAGACGTGGACCTCAATGCATCAGTGAGTGCGAGAATGGCGGGAGTTGCATGCGGAGTGGTAGAGTGCGAGAATAGGTCACCATAACGGTGATACATTAAGCGATGGGACGAGTGGTGAGTAAATAGTGTCTTCGTGTCATCGAAGTTCATAACTATCCTGGTCGCAAACTTTGCGGTTGGTATTGGTAAGCTGTGGCGAGGAGAGCTGCTAGATTATCGAAGCGGGTAAGACCCTGGAGGCTGATGGGTTGCTACACCCGTATCCACCATCACATTTTCCTCACCGGGAACAGAGTTGTGCAGTAGGTATCTGTACCATTATCAATTGCTTGATAACGTTCAAGAGCCCGGCTAATATTTCCCCTTATCTGGTAGCCTTGCCCGGATGAAGGTAACGCAGATAAACAACACTAGTCGTATCGTCGGGATCATCCACGCGCTTCCAAGTCATGCAATCTCTCCATAGTTGTGTCGAATCGCCGATGGGAAACAAAGAGCGGATACCAAGGGCTATCCAGATAGCTGATCATGTGCACAAGAGATGCGCCGTTCGTGTTCGGTAAGGGAGAGTACGCTGAGTGTGGTATTGATAGTAAGGACTTCTACCGCTACTTTAGCATTACTGTGTTTGACTTGTCCTTACTCTTTTGCGACGGCGGCGCCCACGCTATCAAAAATTTGTTTTTTCAGCGTCGTTATGCTCACGCGTTCCAGTCATTTGCATACGTATCGGCGGCAGTTTCGTTCGTGTGGTCAGCGAAGATATCGTCGGTACCGTACATGGTGGCGAAGACAGCATCCTCGACGGCTTCGATCCCCTTGGATACATAGAAACCTTTGGGAAGAGCGATATAGGCGCATTCGTAGGAAGTCTTGTTGAAAACAAAAGGTGGAAATAGTACCAGCAGTATGATCATCCAGTGAAATGACTTGCTCACCATGCGAAACCCCTAGTCATGCCCTGCCTTCGATAGCTGCGCTTGCTTTGGCCAATGTTGCGTATAGCTCAGAATTATACATTGACGAGAGGCGAGTGGAGTGTCGTGTTTCACTCCAGTTAGGTCTAGCCTCCGGTTTGTCGCGGTCGGGAGCTCGATCGATCAACATTTCAGTAAGCATGTTGAGAGGCTGCGAAGGCGACGATAGAATTTGCGTTGCTTCAACGCCTCTCACGCACAAGTTTGCCGTCCGGTGTCTTCCTTTCAATACGCCCATGTGTATTGGTGTTGCAAGGCCTTTGTTACCTTGTATCTTCGTCGTTCATTTGCATTTGTATTCGCATTGCCTCTTGCTCCCAAAACTCAGCCATCTGTTCAGCTCCTCGCCTTCCTCCAAATTGAACTTCTCCATTGACCATATCCCCTTCCGCACCGTCCATGAGGCGCTGGAAACAGCCCTTGTTCTTCGGATCATTAAAATGTTGGTATGGGCGCCCGGGATCCAGCCAGGCACCGCACAGATAGCAGAAGTGGGTTTTACACTGTGCGCACGTCATATGATTGCCTAGATTCAGTAAGCTCTGTGTCAAACACGGGACCTGGGCGAGCAAACGTACAACCAAATGACTTTTGACACGGGACGGAGCAATAAGCGCACGGCGAGGTGTTCTTCATGATGAAGTTCAGCGATGCCTGATCCTCTTCGGTAAGCTGATTGGCATCGCGGGGTTCGCAGCGCACGAAGTCGCCATGCCAGGAGGAAAGGCAGACAACACAGAAGGCTAGTGTGCAGTCTTCGCAAACAGCTAGCCGATCCATGCCACGAACACCGACGGCACGCTTCTCTGGTCCTGTGGGAGCTTCTGGTTGAGCCGGGTCGTCATCTGCCTCCGAGTCCGACTCATCTATCTGAGTCACGTCGATGATCTTGGGATATTTGGGTGACCGCATTGCGCCTTGACACCATTGCCGCGGGCAGAACATCATGTTGGGGTCCGATTCCATCTTCTTCTTCCGCTTGATGTTGACGTAGCGCTCGACTTGCTCGTGGAGTATTGGTATCTGCAACAGCTCCTTTGGTGATATCAGTTGATCCTTCTTCTTGCTGCCACCGCACTCTGTTGACATGCACTTGATGTTGTTGATAGCGCCCTCGGTGATGCAGTTGTTATAGTAGTCCTGCAAACAAGCAACGCAGAAGACGTGGCTGCAGCGCTCCATACGGTAGCAAGCTGATCCCTTCTTGGGTTCCAAACATACTTCACAGTCAAATGTCTCCTTATCGAACAGCTCGCGCTTCATGCGCTTGCTGTAGTCCAGCTGCTCTTTCCGCATCGAAGTTGGTAGGGTGAGCTCCTCGATCCCAAAGCACGTCTCAGCCTGCTCCTGCAGTGAGCTGATGTAGGCAAACAACACCATACCGCCTCCATATTCGTCCCATAGCAATTTTGCCCCACCTGCCAGCTGTTGCGCTCTGCTTTCTGGTAGCCATGGCGGGGCAGTCGTGATCTCGACGTGTGGGGGTCCTTCGTTCGGGTAATCTGCGGGCAGATCGAGCACGACGTGTAGTGAGGGCAGGTAGCACAGGCGCTCGACGGTCTCTCCAGGCGAGAATGTGACGGGAAGTGGATTGGTGGGCGCTACAAGCAGATCGAGGGTCGCCTTGTATCGGTTGCTGGGATCTATGACCAGTTCTGGGTAAATTGACTGCAACGTTTCCAACTCTTCGGTGCGCTCGTCTGATTCCTCATCCATGGTGGTTGCGTGGTAGGTAAAGATGTATGGTGTTGAGGTGGCGGCGTTCGACAACCGGTGCGCTTTAGGGCGCCAGCAACGGAGGAAGACGGAGATAACTGAAGGGCGCTGACAGGTACCGGTAGTGGCGCTTATCCATAGCGAAAAATGGCAAATGCGCCCTTAAAGAAATTGAAATGGTCCATTTTTGTGACTCAAGATTCAGCTGGGGCGTTATTTGCAGCGGCGAGACCTCGACAAGTCGTTGTTGATGACAGCGGCATCTTCCTCCCGCGGCGGCGGAGGAAGGTGCGCCAAGCCGCCGTGACGGCCATCGTGCATCGTCACCTAGAACCGCAAGTCTTGGAGCCAACAACCTCCACTTTGTCTTGCAAACCGCCACCGGCTAGATGGAAAACCCTTCACTTGCGTCGCTATCATTGACGCATGTTCACTATGTATTTATCCTGTCAACTACCGGCTGGCCATTACGCTGACCCTGCAAGAACCCCGCGGACCGTATCTCCTACCTCTGCGCATGGCTGGCCCTCGTGCCGCAGGGACTATGCGTCGTGTATGCAACACTGATATGGTCGAACCGCGAGATTGAGATTGGCCTCATGTTTGCTGGCCAGATGGCGTGTGAAGCGCTTAACTGGGTGCTGAAGCGTCACTTTAAGGAGGAGCGACCTCGAGGTACACCAAATACTCAGCTCGAGACATATCGTCAGATGACATGCTGACAAAGGCAGAAATGCACGGCAAGGGCTACGGAATGCCTTCGTCACACGCACAGTTTGTGACTTTCTTCTCGGTCACCCTGACGCTGTTTCTCTTGTTTCGTCACGTTCCTCATCCCACCGAAACACACACGCCCTTTAGCCTCGCCGGTCGGGTTGTGCTCTCACTTCTAGCTTTAGCCTCTGCTGCAGCTGTCGCCGTCAGCCGCATATACCTGAGCTACCACACTCAAAAGCAGGTCCTCGTTGGCTGTGCTTGCGGTGCAGCATTCGCCCTTGTGTGGTTCGCGTTCACGACCTATCTGCGCAGAGCTGGCTGGATTGATTGGGCAATCAGTACCTCGCTCTTCAGGGCATTTCGAGTCAGGGATTTGGTCATTCAGGAGGACTTGGTCGACTCAGGCTGGGCCAGATGGGAGGACAGGCGCAGGCGACAGGATTTCCGCTATCAAGGCAAGAAGAGCAGATGAGGCGACATCATCGATAGTAGCAAAGTCGAAACCCACCGCGGGATCACCGACAATGTCAAACCCCAGTGTTCGGAATCATCACTCGCTCCAGCCCGCTTCCCATGCGGAATTCATCTACTGATCACAGCATGCTTGATTATGCTATCGAATGATGACCTGCTCGATTGGACGGAGAAGCAGCCTTGTCCTACTTTTGCATATGGTTAGGCGCCACTACAGGGCAGTCAACCGACTCGACCGATTGTTGACCACCAAAACACTGACAAGATCCTTGAGCCAAAGGCACACGGATAACCACATTAACGGCCACACCGACGACTAAAGCGGGCAAAAACGACCCCAGCTCAGGACACTGCATATACACTAAGTCGCTGCATCAGAAGAATTCTGTGGTACCTTGATTCTCTCTACTTTATCGTTCGCGTGCTAGATCATCCTACACACTCAAAGAAGCGATACGTCATTTAAAGATGGCGGCTTCAGTGCACGGATGGACCTTCTGACAGCTCTTGTGTAGGGTCAGTCTATTAGAGAACAATTGTCGCAGCCAAAAAGGAGGCAAAATGTACACACATTCAGACCCCAAAGTAGGCCTGCTAAGTGGGTCTCTTCTACCCGCGACAATAATTAGGCCCACTGCACAGGCGGCTCCCTGGACCCCACCCGCAGCTTCGTTCCCGCTGCCGCTGGCATATCTTTCCCCAGCTATCACCGGATCTATTGGGCTGACCTTCTTCCCCGTGGCGCATTTGCTGTTGGGGGCTACCGTTTCGTCAAACACTCCAACTGCGAGCAAGCAAATCCAGGTCATGATTCTTTGTACGGTGGTGAGTAAGACTGTGTCGCCCATCCAGTCAAATGAGCACTGTTTTGCGGCGTACATTTTCAATGTTTCTTCATTTCTAAAAATGCATTTGCGAAAACGCCATTGCAGTGACGCAAAAGATGGAGGTGGGGTTTTGGGTATAATCTCATCAAGATCAGCGGGGCACTTGTTAGCAGAACTGCATCGGGAAACAGCTCAATGCTGCAACTAGATGACGGTAGTGATCTTAATTAGATCAACATGAACTCTTCACTCTGTAAACCACCTTCCGGCATGTGTTCAAGTTCTGTGCCGTGCATGAATCCATTGATGTAGACGGGACCCAGGAAAAGATACCCGCTGAATTTCGGACGTAAGGCTTACGGTATCGTCCCTTCGAAAAGTAAGACGATTACGTCTCCTTCCAGCATATAGTGAGGACCCAAGCCGTAGCTGCCGGAATGCAACCGAAAGAAGTTTCGGCCTTTCCAAGCTTCCCTGGCGGTTCGGAGCCATTGCTTACAAGATGGCATGGACTCAATATCATCTGCAAACTTTCCATCTATTATATCACCATGGCAGTCTTGGGAACACCGGCCGGAAGATCACATGAAAGAAGCCAAGGAATCCAGCGAAGAAATTGTCTTGCTGTGCCATGTCGACATCTCGATAACTCAGATTAGCTGCAACCAAGCCAGTGGTAAAGGTTCGTGCCATGATTCGGGATTTTTCTTGATGGTCTGGACATGATCCTTCGAGTGGGCGAATATGTCTCCAGCACTCGACGAACTTGTTCAAGAGCTCAAACATGGGTACCGCTCTATCCTCTTCCGCGGGAGACCAGCCTCGTATGGAAGAGATGCAAGAGACATGACCACAAGTCAGACCGTTTACAAACAGTTCTGCTTCGTGGAGGTAATTACGCGGTGCGGACATACTGCCTTTGAACAACCGTCTTGATGCGCTCGCCGTATTATGGGAGATGAATGAAGCCCGAGGTCTGTCTTTGTCCCATTCTGGGACCCAGGACGGACTTGAGGTATTCGAATCACATAGTCTAGAAGTGAAAGTTGCGGGTTCATTTGTAGGATCGCAACGGCTGTGTCGGTATAAATAATCCCAACTGGCTCGCGATAGTCGACTCCAATGGTCGAGGAGTCAAATCCAAACTTCACGTATAAGAGTCCCAGGAGGCCATAGATCTTATCTCGCGGATCAGTCGCCTTTTGCGAGCGGGAAGGCGCCAAATAGTCGAGCAGAAAATTCGGCTCGGCTTGCACAGCGCCAACAAGTTAGTTGGGACTACTCGGTATGCTGACTTCAAAGCTATCTGTGAAGTCGGGATTCTTGCCTTAGATCAAATTCAAGAACAAGGAGACCATCCATATGTTGCTATAAGATATCATGAAGCTACTATAGATGATCCGGGCGTCGTCGCCAGATTTGGGGGACAGCAAGACCTCTTGGATACACTATATGCGTCGGAAACAGGCGTCAAAAAAGCGCTGTATACGAGTCCAAGAAACACCCAAGCCATATGTCAGCCGCCAGTTGCCTTGAAGGTAGCGTGTGAGCCCTGTAACCCCTTCCAATGGGCCTGCTTGTAGTCGGACATCAACTATGAAGTCGTTTATCGCCTTCAAGCTCTCCACTGCTGGTTCAGCCTCCTTGCGGGCCACTTCACCGAGATGAACGATTGTGCTAGCGGCTTGCGAGCAAATTCGACCCATCAGATAAATGTTAAGGTTCTTCTCTTCGACGTCGTTTTAATTTATATACAGAGCAATCGACCATAGCGCTCGATCTGTCATGCTGCGCAGTAGGCTGGCGGATGGGTAGGGTATGCTTTTTTACGTTTTGGCTTATAGCTTCTTAACTAGCAGAGATACGCTTACATAATCTATTATTCGATAGAAGCGCCTAGTATTGCGCCTTCTAATAAAAAAAGAATTAGCTCATTCCGCCTAGTATTAGCTGAGTTATCAACACTACCTAGCAAAGTATACCTATCAATGGGTATGCTCGCTAGGTACCCCCCCTTTTTTGACCTTTTCTAGCCTCTAGCTTGTGCAGTTTAATAGTTATAACAAAACCCTCTACTACAGAAATGTAGAGGTAGTTTTTCTCTTTCTTTTAAGCCCTATTTCGCTAGAATCCATGTATTATTGACAAAGTTTTGGGGGGTACCCACGAAGGACGTTGGAGTATACCCATTCCGCCAGCCTACTGCGCAGTCTCTTCAAGGCGTTTAGAAGGTTTCCGATGACTTGCACGCTACAGCCGTTGCACAATATCTCCATCAGATCCACCGGGTCCCCTCATACTTAGGAGAACGCTTCGTACGCAGGAGCTTCGGAAACCTCATATTCTGCCAGCTTGCACTGGATCAGGTTGCCGGCGTTTTCATGAGGCAAAATTGTAAGCAATCAAACACTGTTACTCGGTATTTGGCTGAAATAGATGATCCCGCTCAATGCTTTGAGATCAGATGTACGCACGGCGGGATGCTTGGGTTCAGCCTGATGGTCCGAAGGCATTGCGCAAGAGTCAGTTAACGTTACGGTTTACGCCTGGGTATTGATGCACATAGGTGGTCCAAGCGACGATGCGGATTGTATGAGAATCCAGAAACGTCGGATGGCTACAGCTTGGGAGAAGGCCGAGCAGAATCCATGGTGATCAGTACGTGGCACCACCCCACCAAAGGATGACGCTAGTCATTCTGCAGGTGAAGGTGCAGCCTCGATCTTTCATCTCAAAAACATATATCACAAATACTATCTACAGGTACTTACGACTGGATTCCACCCTTGCAGAACTTATAACCCACGACTGTGACCCTTACGGCTTCGTCGCATGGATTAGCACGAATTGCACGACAAACTGCCGCCCAAGATCGTGACTTTTGCTCCCGCTCAATTCCAATCAAGTACCAGCATTTCCAACCGAACTTTTAACTGGGCACAGAGCCGAGCAGCGAGTTTCGGAATCCCTCAGCCTGCCAGGCCGTCCTGCCCTCGGTGCGCTGAGTAAGAAATCACGGCTGGAGGCCCTTCAAAAGCCGTCTAGTATCAATTCATGTTGGTTGAGCCCGCCTCGTCATTGCGTGCCTCCGTCAGACAGTTCCAGCGTGTTCAACGGGAGGAATACGGTTACGCAGCAATTATAAGCAATTGTAGCGTCCTAAAACCACAAAAATACATAGCTGCACAGTCTGTGTTCATATACCGTGGCGTCATAGAAAGGGAAAATGAAGCGGTACCAAAAATGCAGCAGAAGCTGAGTGTACATTCCTGAATAATCATATTCGAGTTCCAGAGAAGTGCAGCTTCCTCCCCGAGCTTTCAAACGCCACCCAAAGCCCAGCCCGACTCACGGGCCGTTTCAGTCATCTCCTTACCAAGGCTTTACCAAAGCAGGAATTTATGGACTCTCCTTTGTTTCATCTAGGTGCTATGTTCTGTGAAACTCTGCAGGATCATCCGGCTTCTTTGTGCTGATTTGGGTCTCATCATCGTTTGACTGGGAAGAGGCGATGAAGGCAACGAGCGTTGCCGAGACACGGTGTGCAGTGGCAGAAGCTCACTGAAGCAGAAGAGCATTAGAAGTACAGAAGACCCGCTGCTCATCGCAGAAAGCGCTGTCAGTCGATTGGTCTCTCAAGTGTGCAGTCGTGAAAGCAAATGAGCAGCCGAGGATGTGGGTATGGACATATGTTGCGTTTGCTCGAGGGGAATGGGTTTTCATAGCAGGTGGTGACTACAGTGCTACTGTGGTGTGCGAGGGGATCAATGTGTGCGTTGCATTACAGTTAGTGGTCCACAGCTACCGAGACCGTTTTCATGAACCAAAACATTTTTCCACCCTCTGTATCACGGAAGTCTCATCTATTGTACGCAGTGATGTAGTCAATACTGACACAGCGCTATCCGTTCAGTGTACGAGCCGGCCAAGGTGTGCATGTGAAGATGAGTGCAGGTTGAAGAGGCAGCTAGCGCTTTAGTCGCGACCAACGACACCCCAGTGGCCGCCCTCGGAGTTGGTATAGACCGAAGCAGTGTTGCTGATGATGTGGGCCATCTCCTCGACTGGACCGCACATGTAAGAGTCGCAGGCCATATCGGGAACCGCCTGGAGGTTATCGACGTCCACGGGGCCGTTGAAGAAGTAGTCGTTGCCGACCTCGGACAGGGTGCAGTCCGCGTTCTGGAGGGGTGTTATTTGTGATTACATCTGGGCGGCAGAGCGTCTTACCTTGTAGAATATGCATGTCGAAGGGATGCAGACCTGGGCGGAGCCGAGAGCGTAGTCGGCGATGGCGGTCTCGCACTTGAGAGCCTTCTTGTGGGTCACCAGGTAGAGAGGGGTTCCCGTGAAGTTGCTGTTGGGATAGAGGACGCCGACATCGCGGACGAATTTGTTGCTCACCATTAGGTCATGAGGAAATGCGCTGATTGTGGAAGCCAGGAGACCGGCGATGGCCGAGATGGAAATGACGTAGCACATGTTGGGTTGTTGAAGTGGGTGTTGAGAGAAATGGGAGCGAGGTTGAGATTTCGTGAGGATGATAGCGAAGGAGTGTAGGTGGATTAGAGAAGATTTCATATCCCGCAGGCTCGCATGGCTTCCGAATTTGGTCAGAGGGAAGGAGGGCTGTGCTGGGGCACGTCAAGGAAAATTTGCGAAATGTGAGCCATCAAGGGGCGCAACCTTACGACTTCACTCGCTGTCACCTCAAAAGTCATTCGGGTCTCGGATTCACCTAGGTGCTTGAGTTGGCAAGCCCAGTTTGTTTGAGCAGAATGCGGTCGGTCGCCTTTGCTTCAGAGACAGTCGGCGAGGGCATACCGCGAGATGACGCTGCCGCGTAATAGCGCAATATGAAGACTGCCTGGCTTCGCAAGCAAACATTATCGTGCAGGATGAATCCCTCACCACACTACGAGCTGTCACCCAATGGAATGCGGCCTTGGTGGTATGTCTGTTGTCGCTAATCAAAAGCCGATGGCTCCGCAGATCGATAATCCTTCGCAATATCGACAGCATGGCTAACCTCGATGAAGTCCTCCAGCTCTTCGCTCGTCGTCAGCAGCTTCTCTTTCACTGCCGTGACGCCCTCAGACCCGACAATGTGGCGCGCCGGCGGGTTATCGTGCCCTCCGATAGCGGTGAGCGCATGGACGGTTTCAGCTATGAGCGAACTTTTCAGTGCGGCGGGTAACGGCGAATAGAGCGAGGTGATTGTATCGGCGTTCAATAGGTCCCCGATGGTTGAATCGGCCATTGCGGTGTCTGGGCTCATGGTAGAAGTGCTGTATGCGGGCGACGTGGCGTCCTCGGCACGGGGGTTTTCGATGCTGTCGAGTCTGTCAAGAATGCCTGAGAAGATATCCCGAGCGAGTGGCGCGGGGTTCTCTTCGGACAGGTACTCCGGCATGGGTGGGACCGAGGTGATCCTGTTCGTCAGCACGTTGACCTCCATACTGGCCTGTACAATGGACATCTTGACATTAAAGGGCGCAATTTCATACGCAAGGCTCTGGTACTCGTCAGTAGAGCAAGCAGATGCACAAATTCACACTCACGTCACAATAGCCTTCGATAGCCCATTGCGATGAACAATATATGCTAAGTCCCGGTGTTCCAAGGTGGCCGGCTACAAATCGTCAGCAGAGGTCCTGCGCAGCATGACGAGGGGGTCATACTGATTCCTGTGATGACGATCATGTGACCGTTCTTCCTTTCGCGCATCACGGGTAGGACGGCTTTGATGATGTTCACGTTGGCAAAGAAGTTGATCTCAAAGATCTCGTCTACCAGGCTGATAGTGCGACTGCTCTGCGCTAACTCCTCGACAGTTCCAATGACAGCTACAGGGCGTCAATCATCAGCAGACTCACGAGACTTTCGTGCTCACCTTCACTGGCTGCGCAGAGCAACACATCGATGCGCCCAAAGGCCTCGACCGCCTCTGCAACAGCTGCTTGGCACTGTCCAACGACCCTTGCGTCCAGACCGACGACTCGCAGTCGTTCCCGCCATCTCTCCGTGCTCTTCACCTCCTCAAGGAAAGCCTTGAAGTCTTCAACCTGGTCTTCGCTCTTCTCAAACTCAACAGGGACTACACCTGCTACGACGTAATCGCCATGCTCGAGGACTTGTTTTGCTAGAGCAATCGCGATGGGCGAGACGCCTCTTGTGATGAACCAGACGCGAGGCGCGTTGTGGGGTGGAAAGTGAGGGGAGCGCGGACGCGCTGGCTTGGAGGCCGTCCCAGACCCGGTGCTCGTCATCTCAGTGCGATGTTCGATGCAGCAATCATCGCAGCCCTTCCATCAACAGCTGCATACCGAGGAGTGGTGTCTTGCTTCCTGGTCGTAATTGTCGGGGAGCAACTGCCTGACTCCGGGACCGCTAGCGCGCGCTAGTGATGCACCATCCTAAAATGACAGGAACGTTCACCTGTACCAACACCATATCGACATATCCGAAAATTGGTGTTAAAAGAGCTTGGAGACAGTAGACTGTTGACAGGATTGGAAGAATTAAATCTAGCATCGTGTCACGGCTGGCAATCCGACTGGCCTATTGAGGGGCAATTGTAAATTTTCTCTACCCATCTCGACCACTTGACTTCCCTTCATTTCGAGCAGGCCGAGTAAGTATCTGACCAGAACCACTGCCCGCACTGTCCCCTTCTTCCAGGCCCGTCTGAATTGCTGATTTTTCGGCCTCTCTTCAATCGCTACCTCCCACCTCCCAATCTCTTCACTTGAACAATCTCTGTCTCAACGCAAACCTTGCCCACAAGCACTCTCATCTCGATCCAGCTCCACAACGCTACATCCACAGAGTCTCAAACTCGCTAATGGGGACGCAGCTCTCACGGCGCCTGGCCTTCTCCAACACCTCATCCCAGCAGACGGCACGCTCCCGAACTGGCTTCTGCAGCTGCGCGAGGCGAGACTGGTCTGTATCTTCGTGAAGTACAGACACAGCGTACAGGAGACCGTCTGTCCGGGCCGTCGACTGCAGTCGCTGGATCAAAAAGAATAAGTTCCAGCTCAGCGTCGTCCGCAAGCGCAAGCCGGAGACCCGTTCACCCGAAGTCGGCATGGCACGAGCAGCAAGTACGGCGCAGTATCAGCGCCACTCTCTGCAGCTCATGTCCAGGGTGCTCAACAGCCGCCCCGACGCATCACCGTTCACGCTCATCCTCGATGACCTCAGCCAGCGCGCCATGCCTCTTGTGGGTGAGCTGGTGCGGCGAGGACTCTCGCGAAACGTCAACGTCGTGGTGGTTTCTTTCGAAGCGACACGATTCCACCCCGCTGTCCGCAGTGTTTCTGCGTACGGCGACGAGACGGGCGAGCAGCTGCTGCAGGGCATCCGCAAGGCACTGGGTGAGGCGAAGGAGAGCCTGGTCGTCGTCGACTCGCTGTACGAGATGGTGAGTGTGAAGAACGTCGACATGGGCGCGCTGTTCAAGCTCGTCGCGGGCGAGTTCGCGTCAACGCTCGTCGGCGTTTACCACCAGGACACGATCCCGGACCAAGACGCGCACAAGGCGTACGCGCCGCAGCCTCTCGAGCTCTTCAAGTACATGGCCACGACGGTCGTGACGTGCAGGTCGTTGGCACACGTGCTCGCGGCCAAAGCAGCCAGGGCGCGCAGTCTTCCGGAGCCCACGCACGGGCTGCTCCAAGGCGCCGAGGGCATCGTGCAGTGCGTCGACGCCAACGACCGCGGCGGGATCGTGCTGGAGGCAGAGTTCCGCCGCAAGTCCGGCCGCCCCGAGAGCGAGACGTACATGCTGCGTGCCGCGCGGCGGGGCGACTACAACGCGCCGCTAGCTGGGATGGCGTTTGGCACGCTGCGGCAGGAGTTTGTCACGCTGCTCGAGCTTGTGCCGGCATATGGCAGCGCCGAGGCCACGGGGCCTGTCGGCGCGGCGGCCAACGAGATTGAGGCGACGTTCAGCCTGGGGCTGACGGACAAGCAGAAGCAGGCGCGCGAGGGCGTTGTGCTGCCGTACTTTGATGCGCAGAAAGGCGGGGGTGCAGGCGAGGGAGGCCGTATTCTGTACGACATGGGTGAGGAGGACGACTTTGACGAGGAGGAGGATGAGATCTGAGGATGAGATTTGAGGATGAGATTTGAGGATGAGATCGGAGGATGAGATTTGAGGATGAGATTTGAGGATGAGATTTGAGGATGAGATTTGAGGATGAGATCTGAGGATGAGATTTGAAGATGAGATCGGAGTATGAGATCGGAGTATGGGCATGTGGTATGGACAGGACGGGCCTGGGGCGTTCGGCATAGAGGGCTAGAGGTTTATGGTATTCTGCATGAAGGGTTTACAACATGTCTGCATGGAGGGTTTACAACATATTTTGCTTAGAGGATTTACAATATATCCTGCATGGAGGGTTTACAATATATCCTGCATAGAGGGTTTACAA